TAAAAGAGCACATGATCGCATTAATTTATATTAATTTTCTAAAAAATTTGTTCATAACCGCATGAATTATGGTCTTTAAGTTCTCAGTGGGGCGCATGAGCTACTTTCATGACACGTGGCCATAGGTGATCACTTTTATCCAGTCATTTGGCCTGGGAATCTTTTAATGAGATTTTTATTCGGCAATGATTTGAGGGTTTAGTTCAGGGTAAAAGCTTTTAATAATCTTTAACATCCTAGTGAAGGATTAAAACAAGTTCAAATTATGGTGTTTATGTTTTTTACGGTCATACGCGATATAAAATTGTTCTCTTTTTTATGCAAATAGGCTCACTTGATGTTAAGTGATACTGCCGTACATGGACACTCACATTGCCAGAAAGCTCGCAAGTGCGTAGCCGGCCTCTTGCTTTGCTTCTTACCGTTACGCTATTTTCTTGAATTGGTTCGTAAATACTTCAGTACGCAGCTCGTCATGATCGTAGAACAATGTTGGATTTGAAAAAAAACCACTTTTATCATATTTGGAAAATACATTAACTAAATATTACGGCTACTTAGAAAAAAAATAAAAAAACTAACATGATATTTTTTTGAAATGGCTGCCGTGTAAAGTTAACTATTTGTCAGATCCGTCACTATTCTACGACTATAACGAGCTGGTTCCACCATAAGAAACGCTCAGTTGTGGAACGACGGATACGGAAATGGAAACTCCTAGTCGTATACGTTTTGTCTTTCCGTCGAAAATATCTAAATGAATATTTTAAGACTTACAAACATTAAAAACGACTAGGAATTTATAATACCCCTATCTATTACAAAACCAATCTAAATAAACAGCGGACAAATATATGTATAATCATATCTCTAATGACCATATTTAAGAAATTTATTACGAACCAACGCTTTTGATTTTCAGCATCGCCACGTGACTGACACGTGATGGCCGCCATATTGAAGATTACGACCAGTTTACATTGAGCTCTCTTGTACGCAATGGCCCATATTAACTGTAATAGAACAAAGTTTATTAAAATTGGTCAAATTATCTGTCATTATTCCAAACAGTTGAATTTAGAACTTAGAAAATTCAGTTAAAACCAACTGTATTGCTACAGGAATAAGGATTATTTTTAATTTAATTAATACAATGGAATATTATAGATTGGTTTACTCACAACAATAGCAAGCGTTTTCTATGTTTTTCAAGAATAATCAGTGGTTAGGAATGATCAGTAATTTGTCTTGTATTGTTTGGTTTGGGGTGTTGATGATGCAGCCTTTACGTGAACAAACAGGGGTGGTCAGTGAAGCCAACCAATCTGTAATTGCTTATTGTACCTAAATATATAAATATATATCATATATCCTATTATGATCACTATTTTTTGAAGATAATATAGTTCTATGCTGTTAACGACTGACATATAGTGAAATGCTGTTATTGATAACAGAGGGTTTTATGTAGGTTCCTACATATTTTAGAGAAATCCCAAGTTTTGCTTGACATACTATGTATATGAGTCATATAATATGACCGTTGATCATGGAGGTAATAGCTTGCAGCTAGCTTGAACATACAGAAAGAAACAATAAGGAAAAAGTAAACATTTATATGTGGAATTTATAGCATACTCATTCAATTTTTTTTAAATCGATTAAAAACTAATCTTGGTAGAAACAATTAAATTTATATCAATATTTTATTTCTTTATGAAATAAACAAAATCTAAAACTTATATTTGAAATAACATTCAGAATACTGTTATAATATGTGTCTTAAAATAAATAATCGAACTTCCACAGAATAATATTATAAAATACATAATTCCATTTTTCGTTTTCAATCTACAAATCATAATCACCGTAACAGCAACCAGACTTGTTAAAAAATAAAAAATCGTCAACTTGGGGACAGGACTGTCCGGTATATCTTGACCTCTCCATTCCTATAGAGCTTAATAATGGAAATGCCCATTCCTAACTACGCTCAACCGTATGGGGGTCTTCGTGATTGGTCTTGGATATTAATGGTCGAGATCTACCGCGAAATTTAATCTTGCACAAAAAGTATTGAATAGAAGCAGATAGACGGGACAAAAAGAGTTGAGTGATAAATGAACGTTGCAGGTCATCTTGGGTGCTTTAAAGTGATGCGGGAAGTGATTTTCTTTTGAAATCCTACTACTACCGGACGTCTGGATCGTTACCGTTTGATTAAAAATATCACTTCCAAAGAATTTTAAAGAAACGAATTTATTAGCCTTATTTTTTGCCAAAGATAATATAACAAATTTACAATTCCACCCGTATCACCTCGACGTCCGCCGTTCCACAACTGAGCGTTTTTCAAGGCAGTTTTTGCCGCGCACCACCACTTTGTGGACCCAGCTTCCCACTGAAGTATTCGAACCAATTCGACTTAGGGTCCTTCAAGAAAAGAGCGTACCTATTCTTGAGGGCGGCAACGCACTCGCGAGCCCATCGGACATTGAGAGTTTCCATGGGCCATCACTTAACATCGGGTGAGCCTCCTGCCCGTTTTCTCTATAAAAAAAACTCATTTTCCACGGGAAGTTCCTATAATTTTTGTATCATATAATCTACATGGTCAAAGTTAATGTATCATGAAACAGCAAAACCAGATCTAGTCATTACTCATGTTTTGCGGTCCGTGCCAAAATCTAGCCGCAACTTAGTGAAGATAATCTGTGATGATTAATGACTCGCCGTCAGTCTACTATCGATTCTGTGGAATAAATGTGAAATAACTCTCGTCTCTTAAAACTCTGAGACTTCTTTGCGTGACAAAGTCTAGTTATTTCATTTTCTACCAACACATGAAATCATTAGCAGCGCGTTACTTTCACACGCTTAATAGATGTCGAATTAATAATCAAAACATTTTTTAATATCAAATAGCTAGAATACGGATATAATCATTCCCAACTCTTTCCCAAAGGGTTGGTGGTGGATGTTAAACGGTGATTGCTTTTCGGAATCGATAGGCGTAGCAAGCAATCTATCAAACGCATTATGCACGAGGTATTAGACGTAGTTCAGGAGCTTAAAGCTATTATCAGAATGGTTTTAATCTTGAAAGTTGAAAGAAATCAATTAAAAGAATCGTGTGTATGAGTGAAAAATACTATTTACATAAATATCTGGTTCTAATATAAGAATTAAACAATAATTAATTACTATGTTACCATTTACCTACCTGTACCACTACTATAACTTCGCCGCCGGAATAATGTTTTTCACGTAGAACTTACAAAGAAACATGAAAAATGTGTCTGCCCCATATCACAGTTTTTACTGCGACATCGACTTAGATACATATTTGCTAATATCTAAAATGATTTAAATCTTTCACAACAAGATTAGGTTAACCTCTACTTAACAAAGCAGAGCTAAGTCATACAAGAATTATAGTGCAATTATACAAAATAGCTCCTAGACTACAAGTAGTATATTATACTATAATTACTTGAAAGAAAGAGGGTAATCACAGGCATTGCTTGTAGCCACACGTGTCATTTGTGTGAGCTTCACTAAATTATAGGCTGCTTGTGGGTAGCATCTAATCGTCAGTATATAAAAAAATACTTGCATTATTTGTGTATTGTTAAAAAATGTCTTAGCTAGACAATAAAATAAATCAATTTAGTAGATTGTTAAAGTTATTTTTTTTATAAATTTAATTCGAACTAAAGGCCACATAAGTCAGGATACAAGTTTGTTATTTTTTACAAAGGCCTTTGTAATAGAATTTCGTCTGTGACAACATACAAACCTATACAAATATATATATCAGTGGAGAAGTGTTGTCCACTAGATATAGCGTGCGACTCTCATCCCTAAGGTCGTAGGTTCGAACCAATAGACTTTCTGTCTGTGTGCGAATTTAACACTCGCTCGTACGGTGAAGGAAAACATTGTGAGGAAACCGGAATTTCTCCTACATAAAAAGTCAACGGTGTGTGTCAGGCTATTCCCTACTTGCTTATTAGAAAAAAACAAATGATAACAGATACAGAAATTTGATACCTTAAAAGATAGCCATTGGTTTTAATAATACATACATATTTCCGTTTTCTTAGTGTGATTTAAAAGACGCAAGTATATATTTAAAGGCCACGTCTTAGGGCAAAACAAAATACATTTTTATATTATAAGCTTCTTAACAGCTTCGAGGATTTTTGCTACGCTTCTAATTATATCACATTTGAGACACCCTTAATCACATCAAAGTGATATGAAAAATCAATCTTATCACATTGTAATAGAGACTAATAATTTTCATAACTACTGATTATTAAAATCGCTCTTATTACCAGGTAGTGTGGTTGAAATTGGGTCCAAGAATGTTAGTGCTGTGGGGTGTTAAATTAATATCAACGGATTACTGGTATTTGCGAATTGACACTAAAAGTGTGGTTCTCTTTGTGGGATTAAGGCTTACGAACTACGATTTAGTCACTTTATATTATTAGAGATATTTTTAATAACACGAGATTAGAACATATAATGCGATGTACCTATACCATTACTATGTAACTAATTTTTTTAAATTTATATTAAAAACACTATTATTGAGTGTTCCTCGTTTCGTTAAGAAATACCTATATATTGTAATCAAATAACTTTAAGAATATTACACTTGTCCTCGCGAACATTATATAGTAGGTACACGTTTTTTTTGTCCGCTAACGTCATATAAGCTTGTATGACGAAGCACAGAGGTCGTGTTTTGATTATTATGTTCATACTAAACGTGCATACGTGGACTCTTCCCCACCACACGATTTGTGGTGGGCCAATAGCCAATGGACAATGGCGTGACTAATACTAATATTATACTTATAAAACGTAACGTCTAAAATATAACGAAAACATGAACGCAGGCGTCTTTGTAACCCATATGTACAATTGTTATTTTATATTTAATTAAAAAACAATTGACAACATTTGACAAGCCGAACACAACACTTAAATCACTCGTCTTCTTCCATCACGTCCCACAAGAATCGGTCTTTGAAATCAGACAGTGATTTTTCCAGGGTATAATTAATATTTTCATCACTTGTTGGTTCCGCCACTGATTCGTAGTCATCATCTAAAAGCGATGTTACAGATAGAAGAGTGGAATCGGTAATGTTTATCGTATCTCCTGCATCACCTCGTTCTGGTTGACTTCTTGTTGTTCCTAACGTCTGGAATTACAAGTACACATTGGTTAGGGTTTACACTTCAAGAAAAGAGCGTACCAATTCTTAAAAGGCCGGCATTGAACGCGCGGGCCCTCTGGCATTGACTATCACTTAACCTAAGATGAGTCTCCTCCCTGTTCTATATAAAAAAGGGATAATAAAATAAATTCAAATTGATTTTCTAGTTATTTCTTTTTTTACTTCTCTTTGTCGTTACGTACGAGCCCTACTTACATCTATTATAGCCATATGCAAAATAGGCACCTCCAATTCGTAAGGCTTGATTTCCTGAGGTTCTTCATCCAAATATGTATACTCGTTAGCGCTCTGCCAATTTAGCTAGAAACAATATTAAAAATTGTTAATTTCAAATTTATTTGATCAAAAATATAAAAAATTTAATCGATCAAATAAAAGTTACAATGGTTATGGAACTTCAAACTAAGCTATAAATGAAATCTATTGTAAATGACATACCCTGCGCAGGCGCCACTTTTCAATAAATTCGTTGGTTTCACGCAACGCGTCCCGGCTGTCTTTCAGAAGCTCATCAATCTTTTCCCCAAATCGCATTTGTTTGTACTTATTAAGAAACTAAAAAATAATAAAGTTTATTTACATGATACAAAATGTTTGTACTTCTTAATAGGCAAACAAAAGAATTAAGTACACTAAATTAGTTATATTTTATTTAAAAAAATTACAGATGTAGCGTTAAAATCAAATTAAAAACCTAGTTGGTACTTACTGCGATAGAAAACCCAAGTAACAAAACTTCAGTTAGTAAAAACGGTATACTAATAACGGCATCTGTGCTCGTTGTTACCAGTTTTTCCTCTTCTCGAATAGTTTTCCTTACAAAACATACAATTTTACACGCCAACCTTTGAAACATGTCCACAAAGCCATTTCCAAGAAGATAATCGACGATAACCAAACTGAAGAAACCTGCACTATACAACGTAAATGTGATTAAATTGTGTATCATTTTGGACATTGGATTTTCTAGACAGCGGGGACTTTTAATTTTACATTAAACGAAAAATTTCATTTATATATATGCGTCCATAGCAACTATAATTTTTATTGCACGAAAATTTGTGACAACTGGCTTATGGCAAACTGGTACCAAAGAGGTATATTTAAACAGTAAAGCATAACCTATTTAATTTATTTAAATTCTCTATTTAATATAACATTCGAGTACAAGGTATATTATATTTTTTATCACAACATATATGTAGTCTTGAAGCCGCAAATTAATTTGGTTTATTTAATATCGATAAGGCCTCCGCCATTATGAAATCTAAATTTTACGCATTTCATTTTGTTACATATAAAGTCAAAAATAAATAAATACTTCAGTGCCTGTGGAGGTCACAGGATGGCAACACAGGCAGTCCTAGTTACCATAACAACTCGTTGTTGATAGTTACCACATCATCAACAAAACGTTATTGTTTATATTCTCCTTGTTGCAAGACTTTGGCAGAGAAAACGTTTTTACCTTTTCAATTTTTAGAGAAAATAAACGTTATACAAAATGGTATGTATATCGTAAGTGTTTATTTTGATGTACCCGAAAGTTTACTAAATATTTACAATAAATCACTAAATGCTATCATTATGTATTTCTAGCCACCAAAAGGAGGAAAAGGAGGAGGGAAAAAGGCACCAGGTAACATAAAACAATATCACAAAAAGTCTAACAAGTATCTAAACCACACAATAGATATTGATATGTTCATACATAGCACCATAGGCTAGATATCTCATATAACTTATAACTCCAGTGTTGAACTAGTATACCAGATATATATGTATAGTTTATTTTAAATTTAAGGCACCTCAATGCGATTTACAATGAATAATTTATTATACTTAATGATAAAACACAATTCTACACTATCCATAACTTTCAGCAATTATTATCGATGGGGTCGACACGTCTGAGATGACACGGGAGAAACTAGAGCAATTCACGCTCAGAGTAAAAGAAGAACTTGATAAGGAAAGAGAAGAAAGAAATTACTTTCAATTGGAAAGAGATAAAATAAGAACATTCTGGGAAATAACTAGACAACAGCTAGAAGAAGCTAAGGCAGAATTAAGAAATAGAGAACGTGCCACCGAAGAGGCCCAAGAGGAAAATGAAGCACTTTTGGAAACAGAAAAGCAAAAGATCAAACATTTAAAATATGAACAGCAAGCAGCTGCAGCAGCTTTGAGGGCCGAAAATTTAGTAGCTCTAAAAGCAGCCAAAGAAGAATTTACCGAACAAGAGTTGGAGCTGCTGAATGATAAACGAACGTTAAGACAAGAGATTAGAGAAAAGATGTTAGCAGCTCAAGATGAACTTCGACGCGCAAAGCTGATGCATGCCGAAGAACTATCGAAGACTCGATCAGATTTCGAAGAAAGAGCCCGACAGATTGAAGATAAAGCTGAAAGAAAGCTTCAAGAAACAAAGGTAGAGTTGACAATAAAGCATAGAACAGAAATAGCAGAAGTTGAAGAAAGGAAGAATAAACAACTCTCAGAGCTCATCGCACATCATGAAAGGGCCTTTACGGATTTGAAGAACTATTACAATGACATTACATTAAATAATTTAGGTAAGTTTTTTATAAATTTTTATAAAACATGCTAGAAACCAGAAAATACAACTAATTTAACCTCTATTTTCAGGATTGATAAGCAGTCTTAAACAACAAATGGAAGATATGCAAAAGGTAAAAGAAAGATCTGAAAAAATTGCAAGAGACGCTGTTGCAGAGAGTAAAGGTCTCCGAGAGCCTCTTGAAGCTGCAATTATAGACAACAAGGAATTGAAACGACAGATGTCTAACTATGATAGAGATAAAGCGGCTCTTGCTGTAAGTAGAATATGTCAATCAACAATAGGCTGACAGTATGAAAAATAAATTGTTATTGTAAGTAATTAATATTTAAAAAAATGCGTATATAAAAACATTGTTTTTAACGTCAGTCACCTGACTCAAATTATTCACTGTCGAATCCACGACGATGAAGCATGCTTGTTAATAATGTTCACCTGTCTAATCCTAATACTGTACTGGAGTTTAATTTCATTGGAGACTGTTTTTGATCGAAATATAACATCCTGCGTCACAGGGTCTCCTACACGCCACGAAAAGCATTTTCGCGGATTCTTTAAATAAAATTAATGTTTAATTTGAATTTTAAAAGCTTAAACAATTTCTTCTATGATCACTAATATATTCTGTAATGATCTTGTCAAATAGCCTATTACGAATATAACAATAAACTCAAACAAACTAGCATTATATCGTAAACATTGCGCACCGATTAGACTGACTTATGTTATTATAATCATGTACGCATAAATAAATTATATTACAGGCGAAAACGAAACAATTAGCCTCACTGGAAAAGCAATTCGAGGTATTGAAATGGGAATATGAAGTTTTACAAGTTCGATTCGATAGAATACTAACGGAAAGAGATGAATTGAAAGCGAGGTATCATGAAATTTCTTATAAAAATATTAGCTATAAATGATAAATTTCTAAACCGGTTCCATGTAACCTCCAGAAAAACATGGTTATATCTCCATCTGTTTTCGTTAATTTTTCTTCATATTCAAATAAGCGATCAGTCTTCTGTGTCTTTCCACCCAAAAAAAAAAATTCTTTATAACGCTTAAATCCATATGTTTTTTAGATACTACAAGCATTGCCTAGTATATTAGTGTGAGCTGGGATACATAGGTACTTCATCATAATTTTCCATTCAGGTTCTCAAGGGCAGTATTAGAAGTACAACAACGAGCGTCCTTAAAAACAGCCTTATTAGAAACGAAGTTGAAAAATGTGGAGGCACGAGATATGGGGCCCAGGGAAATACATGTAAGTGTATTGGATAAAATCTTAGGGCCAAATATTTTTCCCTTTTCCAATAACCTATATTATGAATGTTCTAATGTTAATGATGTTTAAATGCGGACCACTAGGTCTTGGGGTTAAATCTGAAAAATAAAATACGCCATTGCGAAAATAGTAACCAGTTTCATAAGATTTCTTTATCACTGCTTTCATTAAGCTCAAACACAAACTATTTCTCGATACTGTAAATAATATCGCTTCACTTTACAGGAACTTTTGAAACTAAAAGATACACAAGTAGAAGATCTCCGATATGAAGCAGCAAGACTACGAAAAGCTCACGATGATTTGTTGGCTACCTATGAAGCAAAGCTGGCAAAGTTGGGTGTACCGACTGAAGAACTTGGATTTAAGTAAGCGCCATCTATGGTTGTAGCTAGCAACTACGTAGTTATTCGGTATTTCCATAGATACACCAGTTTTTTTTAAATCTCGTTGGGTTCTTTTAAATTTTTTTTGTTTTAACTAGATATTTTTACTATAAAAAATATCAATATTAACTTTCAAAATTCAGTGATGTCATTGACAACATTTATTTACTTTGCAGACCATTGAAAGCTGTGGCTGTCGCTGGATTATCTCCAGTTATTGGTCAGGGTCCTGCCGGATTGGTCACGAAGGACCAAATCTAATAACTTTAAATCGGTAAATAAATATAACACTGTTTAAATATGTTTGTATTAATTTTATACATTAAACTTTTGTTACTCTGCCATCTATCAAAATTTAACTTTTTAATTAATTGTATCCCTCCGTCAATATACAAAAATATTTTAATCATAAAAAAAAGCCAGGTTACTCAAAAAATATTAAATAAACTGATCATATTGTCTTAATGATATTTATTAAACATTAAGTAATGTTACTTTACAGTGCCATCTATCAAAGGTTATATGAACTTTCAGCATTTAAATGAGAGACTGTCCTGTCTCCAGGATACATAATTAGAATATTTCCTTAGCCTTGCACTAGATGGTAATTTTATCAATTATGTATATGAATTTTCCAAAACAGTTTTATTAGTTAAAGCGGAACGGCGTCACGCATATACGCATATAAAGATGAATTAGACATAGAAAAAAGTTTTTTTGCCACAGTTTATTATGAAAAATTATTAGATTTAGTGTCGAAAGTGAATAACACTAAAATACATACATAATATAATAATATTTCTTATTTGAAGGGTTTTTTTATTATAACGATATTTTAAGAATCTATTAGGTTCTTAATTTATTTATATACAAGGACATGATGAAGTCTTATGAGGAACAGTTTTGATGTCGGTTGAAATTTCTATAATTATGTTGTGTCGAAATTGAACGTCTGCTGAAAAATATTATAGTTTATAACAACATTATTTGCTGTTAAATATGTTCTTAAGTAGGTATCTACTTGATATACCAGCATACTGGTTAGGCAAGTCACACAGACTTGTGATCGACAAACCCCTATTCGAATAATCATTTGCTCGTATGTGAATGTAAACAACTTGAGTAAACTACAATGTCGTACTCCAAAAAATCGATAACGTGCTTAGAGTTACCTGTCAAAATAATATCAATGAAACAGTAGAAAAAGATATCTAAAAAGTGAAAGATTTGGAGTTAAGATTTGCCTTATATCACAATCTGTTATTTTTTCTGAGGGTTAACCATTTGTGTAGAAGTATATCATGTCACTTAAGAAGCGGAAACAGATAGTAAAATCAAAATACTTCGATATTTTGAAGGCTACAGTTATTTTAATGACCCCTCAATCAATTTCTCCCTAGGCGAACGACATGAAAAGGTCATCATGAATAAATAAAACTCATTATTGAAGCCAATAAATGTTATATTTACTACTAGATTTATATTATATAATACAAAACGATATATTAAGGCAACAGTTTAAAAATTAATTTCACCAGCGAAATAATTATGACAATAAAATGAGCTAGATTTTCACGAATGTGACAAAAATTTGCTTATAATATCTCACGCATGTTATTAAATTTATTCTTGTCATTTTTTTAAATCCTTGGACATATTTTTATTTTATCTTTCCATTTATAAGCATTGGCCGTCTCCTACGGCCGGAATAAAGAGATTACATTTGCTCGCAAATTAATAAGAACATGGCTTATAACTCGCACGATAAAGCTCATTCTATTGGAACAATAACAATATTATCTAAATAAGTTAATAAAGCGGATGTAGCTAAGCGTGCTTGTAAAGTCAATTAAAATACTTATTATTACAACAGCCATAATGTCACAATTATAATAAAAATAATATTTAATTTGCTCGCAAATTAATAAGAACATGGCTTATAACTCGCACGATAAAGCTCATTCTATTGGAACAATAACAATATTATCTAAATAAGTTGATAAAGCGGATGTAGCTAAGCGTGCTTGTAAAGTCAATTAAAATACTTATTATTACAACAGCCATAATGTCACAATTATAATAAAAATAATATTTACATTTCAGGATTTCAATTGCTTAAATTGGACAATAGTTTTTACGCTCCAAATGTTTGGAGTTGCAGACATTACTATGTCATAGGACTTTAATAGCTTAACACATATAATGCTTAAATTAACTTGTGCCCTCTACCGTTTATATACATCAGCAAATGCAGCAAATGCGCTTGGTGTCCTTTTTAGGCACATTAATTTATTAGGAAAGTTATTGCAACATAAATTATTACAACCATTGATTACGCGCACGCTTTCATAGCTTATTAATTGGTTTTATATTGACTTAAATTTACGAATGTTTCGTACTACCTCTTTATTAAAGTGAGTACTGAATATTTCGAAGCTAAAGTCGCAATTACTGCATTCTATAACTTAGAATACAAAAATCTCTGAGATTATGTTAATCAATTACATTATTAATTTAGTTCTGTATGAAAATTATAAAAAGTTTGAATGATCATAGAACATAAAGAATGGTTTAAAGTATTATTTATATGAGCGCGTATTTTATAGTTTTTTTTTGTTCTTATTTTATATGGACAGGATTCGAAAGCGTGACCACTTCTTGGCAGTGTTTTGGGGTATTATTCCAAAATAATGCTAAATATGTTTCGTTTAATTACAAGTGTTAGGGACATAGTTATGTTATTTTTATAATAACATTAATTTATTCATCACATAAGCAATATCACATAGAAGCAAAGATTTTTAAAGGAACATTAAAAATATTAATAATAGTGATTTAAAGACAACAGCAATCAAACTTTTACATAATTATATACATTATTAATGAGAATTTAAAGTTTACAAAAACGTTAATTACAAAAAATATGCTTAGTAAATACACAACCAAAATATATTTAATAAACTTAAATTGACAATTACTATTTGATATAATGTCATTGCTTTTTGATTTCTTGATTACGTATCAAGTGTGACAAAAATCACTTTAAAATATCTTAATGAGTTAATCGTAAAGTTAAAGAAGCGTAAATATTTAATTGTTTTTATTAAATAATTGCATTTGAAAGGGTGAGACTTGTAAAGATGACAAAGTCAGCGTGTATCGGGGTGCCACTCCATAAGAGTTCCAATTTGAGGCATTGGAGGCTATTGGCTTATATTTATGTTAACAGAAATTTAGATTTAATGAAATCAGTTTAATTATTGATTTTTTTTACTTTGACCTCGGATATTAAATTTTATGTGTTCGGAGTTATAATATAAATACATAACTTATTATAAAACTCTGCTTATAAATTTGTATATACTTTCGCAAATCAAGACATGACAGAAGTTTACAATACATAAACTTTATTGTGTGTTTTCAAAATCTTAACCTTATACAAGTCTCATTCTTTAATTTATCATCTAAATGTGCGCGTGGGTTTTTTGCGATAATCTAATTTTAATATTATTTCTTCACAGTCTAAGCGTTCTTATAATTATTTTTTATTTAAATCATCTATAAATGTCAACATGTTTTTCCTTAAAATACGAATATCCAAATTATATTTGCCAAAATTTTAAATTGTGAATTAAATATTGTTATCAATGTCTTTATCGAGCAATATTTTTTCCAAATATGATTATATTTATGAACTCTATATAAACTACATAGAGGTATATATTACGGTAAAAAATAATAATAGCATTGCTTACTTATTACTAATTTTTCGAATAGTGTCGATTTAAGCTTAATTGCAATGTACATAAGCCTTTATTATAATATAATTTTAGCCTCTTTCGTACAACAAATAGAATTAATGCGACTTATTATTGTGATGATTATTTTTTTTAATAAAAATATGTGAACATTTTAAACATGTAATCGATCATTTGAATACTTTAAAACAATTATAAAACGCATCTAAGATACATTGGATAACATAAAGTCTTAAATTTGACAAGCGAATATTTAGACGTAATGAACGTTCTACCAGAATATTCAATAATAGAAATATCACATTTATGTCGAAAATTCCACCAATAAGGTATGTTTTAATATTCACACACAGTTTTCATTGAATTCTATTTGTTTTACAAATTTAAGTCAATATGTTATACATTTTAAGCATTATTAAAACTAAACCTTTTCTTTCCATAGATTGATTTTGATAGAAAATGCTGGCTATATAAAAGTATAATTTTAAACTACACAAAAATATTGGAACTCAAAAATTTTATAATTGTATTATGCACATGAGTTTAGTAATAGCAGTGAAATCTTATATTATTATATAAAACGAAAGGTAGAAGGCAAATAAGCTTTTTAATCATACCTTTATTAGCAATTAATTTTAGCATAAAGTTCTGAACGATTTGAAAGATCTTATATAATAGTTTGTGAAATCGAGACTGTATAGTGTTAACTTTTGAAATTTTAATATTGAGCATTTTAGACGGAAAATAGCATTAGGAGGCCTTTAAGAAATTAAAAATAGTTTGGGTCAAAAGCCTTAATTAGAAGTCGATTCGGGTAGCTATGGACATTAAGTATCGTTGAATTTTTAAAAAGCATGGGACGGAAAATCGATACTCGTAGGCAGGGACGATTTTTTGAATCGATTTATTACGTGGTATATGAATTGTACAAAATATTTGTGTACTAGCTTAGTATTGTTTTCGAGTACCCTTAGCTTTTAAATTATTCAATGCATTACATATAAAGAAATATAATTAAAATTTCTGAAACATTTTGTGTACGTGTATGCATTTCATAAACACAGCATAATTTTAAATAATCTTCTATACATAAGCGCCATGTGATTTTAAACTAAATTATAACTTAGAACTAAATTAACTATTTTCGTGACAACATGCTTAGAATTGCGCTATTGTTAGTTAAATATTTCTTTATATTGTTTCGAAATTGCAATACATTTATTATACGTTCTTGTTTCTATAATAAAAATCGTGCCGTTTTTGTCTCCATTATCGTAAGTTTTGTTGTCACGAAAAATGAACAATTTCACAACACATTTTAAATTGTCACTTCACTTGATTTCTTCTCGGAAAAGCAGCAAGCGATCACGTGAAAAGTGACCGTGAAAGCATGATTGTGGCCAGGTGATGAGTCTCGTCTTTTCACGTCAGTTCATGGTATACTTTATACCCGAAGCCTCTTCAGGAGTCCTGTCATCTGTAATTAGAATTTAATTGTATTAATAAAATGTATATATTTTCTTTAATATAATAGTATTTCAGAATTAATGTATTAATAAGGAAATGTAACTTAATAGAAATATAATGATCATTTAAACTCGTTTGTATATTAAAATCAAGAATATTTGAAAAACTAATAAGCATACTTTTGAATAAAATTACTTAATAAAGGATAAGTAAAGTGCCAATAAATAAGTTACAATCTAATGTTAAAAGACGTTAGCACTATACATCTACTACAAACGAAATAATGCCGTGGATGAAATTCAAAATAAGCATTGCATTTTCAACTATATAAGGCACGTTTTAATTTTATGTAAGCCTCCAGGCAAAATAATTGAAAAGTCCAATAAAACAAGCTTATGTTTTGATAATGGAAAACAAACAGAGGCTGAAAGAGTATCGATCGTGATGCAACAGATAATGTGAACGGAAATATAGTGTTTGAACAATATGGTATTCTTGGTCAAGCAAACAATGCACCTTACTTGTTAATAGCTACATCAGAAGGAAACAAATGAAGTAGCTTCATTCTAAAGCTCATTGTATTTTCGCGGAGAATAGTTAAAGACAAAGAAAGCAAAAATTCAAGGATTATGTGGCTCGTAACATCGTGAAGGTGCTTAGAAAAAAAATTGTGATCAAACGTTATAGAAAAAATTTTGAAGCGCATATTTTCATTCACCATACCTTGGTGACTTTCATTAGGCGTTCACGAAAGATGATTTGGTCCTGTTGAAGAGATATATTTACAGTTGACATGAAGCAAAACTTGATTGAAATTAGAACAACGTTAATTTAGAATACCAGTTTAGAATAAGATCAATTCGAACACTTATCTGAAACTACAAACATGCATTTCTAACATCATGTAAGAAAAATACTACTCTAAAATATTTCTATATTAATCATTGCAACAGTCTTATTCCTAACGGATTAAATTCCATACAAAATATTAATACATTCTTACTAAATCCGTTAAAAATAATGAAGTAAATGTAAAACGAAATGTATTATTTCATGTTTAAAGGATTTAAAGGATCTTACCCAGACAATGAAGCCGAATTTGAAATTGGAGGACTATTTGATTCAAATCCTTCTTTGGGCTTATCATTAGCTAGTTGTAACTTCAATTGATGACCAAAACATGCTAAATCTTCTCTAAACGTGTCTGAACCGGGAGTAGTTGGCTTTCCATCGTCTCCTGTAGCCATTGCCTCTGCATCACTCTGTAATGGGGCCTGTTCGGACTCATCCTCAGTATTATATATTTTGAAGTACGCAAATGTTAAGTATATTACCGAAATGAAAAAGGATGGAATCGGTATAGCCATGGCGTAAACTAAATTGAGCGTGTTCTGCCACATATCTAATTCTGTGATCACTAATCCAGGATCAATTCGGCTATAGTAGCACGTATAATTATTGCCAATTGGCTTATACTTTCCATAGAATACTGTACAATTCAAAATCGGTGGATATCCGCATCCCTTAACATTTGGAAATAGTCTTGCTCCAGTAAAGTACCATTCCGAGTCTTCACCTTGCAAACCAGTAGGTGCTATATCTTCTAATTCCTGTTGTTCCATTTCTGGATCTAGTTTATCTATTGGTGACTCGTAATTTTCGTATTCGTAATCTTTTCGTAGAGATCTCTCAGCTCTGATAAGCTCCTCGTATTCAGTTGCTGATATATTTGGTGAGTATCCAAGTTTATAGTTTACTCTGATTTGTGTACACTCGAAAAGATCTTTAGTGCAGCCTTCTCTGCATGATGCCCATGAGCAGTTACTCACGCCAAGCAACTGTTTAACTTCCGTTGTTACACACAATGCTGCGACAGGATCAAACTGCATAAATATAGTTGTAAATGCTGGTTCTATGACGAATGGTACTAAAAAAAGGAAGGCAAAGAGACTGAAGATTGCGAGAAGGACGAAAGTTGCTGTTGTGTAGAAGAGAAGTTTCTCAAGGAATGTGGGAGGTATCGGTAGTTTTTCTTCTTCGTCGGCCATGTTGGCGAGAGTTCGCTAGAAGCGATCATAGCGCTTGTTTCAGCTCGGCTGTATCATTTCAAGCCTTATCAGTCTTTAGCACTTGAATCAACGTCATGAATTTTAAAAGTTTTATTTACATCTTCATAAAATATGAATGCTCTATAAAGGCTTTTTACTGAAACTTATACATGTACAAATCTGAAACAACGTGGCTAGGAGTGTAAGTGCATAATTAATTTATTTCGTGATGTTATAGCATGTGTAGAACAGTACGGAACTAAGGTTCTGCTATACATAAGGTAAAATTAGTCTAATATGTATGTGAGTACCACATAGCACAATTAACGTTATTAGAGTGGAATGTAAGTACAGAATTCCTGACGCCAGCTTGTCTGAGCACGGAATGTAGGCTGTATCGATTCGACCACTGGCCCAGAGCCCTGCCAGATATTTCTGTTGTAATATTTGAAGCTCAACTGTTTCATTGTGATGGATCTTAACGTTTATTGTCAAAGTGCATTCACGTGGGAAGCTTTTATTTGTTTTATTTAAGGCTGTACTGAATATGAGAGTTTCATTAATGACCACAATAAGTTATTAATAAAATCTATACCTTTCTCATTGTAAAACTGAACCTACACATTTTGAGAATAAGCAAGTTACTACAGTACTGTGGACTGAATAAAAAGCACCTCAGGCAAAAGCTTCCAACTTTTTTTCAGAAAGATTATTCGCTTAAATCTTTTATTTGTATAGAAATACGTTGGCTGGAAAACTGGCCAAAAAAATACATTGATAACATTATTTCGTTAAACTGATTGTATAACCTAATGTATAAACAAATTTTCCGTCGTTTAATCAAGTTTATAAATAGGGCATGCCGTCGGTTTCCGACCTGATTGGCTACACAAGAATATCTATTGAACGGACTTGCGTGTTTATTAGAAGCTATATATGGTAAAGTTGAAAATAATACATGTTACATCTACGGATTTGAAACCTTTTTACTAAACATATTGTGTGAAACGTCTTTATGACAAGAATATGCTTGCTTGCTTGCTATATGTGTCAACTACATATATATCATGGCTTTAGTGTATTCATAAAATGTTAAGAATAATAATATATTAATATAGCTAGACGTTAATTTTCAATTTGATTTTGTTAGTTATATACACTTAAATAATTTAAATACCTAACAATTGTAATACGATTATATGTATAAGTTAATATAATAATTGAAGATATTTAGAAACAAAAATAATTGAAAAATAAAAAAGGGACAGTTAACAAGCAAGTGAAACATTATATGTAAATTTATCAGTATTATTCTGTTGAGTAAGAGATTTTTTATTCAAATAACTGAGACTAAATCTGTTTATATAATATTGTTTAATCAACAAGGTTACGTAATGTTTTGGAGTGGATAGCTTTAATGACTGCGGAGGAGTTGCTGCATCTGACAAGACTCAGCTTACGGGGCTGATCACCAAAATTCAGTAATAGAAAGATGCTGGAATCATATTGGTAGGGTAGGATCACAACGCAAACTTTTTTATATGCGAGCCTTTCCTTCTAGAAACTGCAAAACTATACTAATATTAAAGGATTTTTTAAAATTGAAAAAAAAATTGTTTGTCATTATTTTAAATTACTACTTTAATAATTCCTAATTTAGGCTGAAAATGGTTAAATGAACAAAAAATACTGGTATTATTGTCAAAAAGCGTGGGTTGCTCTATAGACGAAAAATATGGCACAGAGCGCCCCACGCTTTTTCACAATAATACCAGTATTTTTTGTTCATTACCATTTTCAGCCTAAATTAGGAATTATTTTTCACTTTTTAGTTTGATGTGCTTTAAAAGCGTGTTTTTTAGTTTTTTTTAACTATTATTTATTTTTTAGTTTATTTTTTTTTATTTTTTTTTTCGGATTATTGCATTGTCATCGATCTTTGACAGGTGCGCAAAATTTGAATAAAATCTGTCCGTTTAAAGTGGGTCAAATTCAAGTCCGAAGGAGTCGGTTACATACATACATACATACATACAGGTGAAGCTAATATAAAGCGTGTAAAAAAATGGTATGTAAATACGAGAGGAAAATATGTATTCACTGTCTTACTATCTGAGCTTTGATCTTCCGGCTGACCTCCGAGACATAAAGAATTTTGACTATTGTAAACATACTGCAGTAGCTAGTATCCGTAACCCGACCTTGGCTTGTGAAAATGGTCCAGTCTAAGTATAACCGGGGTTGTTCCCGAGTGCAATACTAAAGGGGGTCAAGTGAACCTGTGCGTGTTTATGCAATTAAGGCTTTTCAGTTTTACGAACGTGTGTATTAACCTAGTTTATGTTAACGTTTAAATTTTTTGTTAATTAAATGTATGAAGCGCTAATGAGAATAAAATTATTTAACATCGGGAAATTATTATTCATGTGCAAACCAGCCCACGTGAGGCACGAGGCAAAAGTATTTCTGTATCTATTCCATTAGTAAACCTTTTGCACATCTCTCGCACACATATCGGCAGTATATGGGTACTAACAAAACCCGTATACCAAAATCCAATACGTACCTAATAATAAATATGTAGTTTTTGACATAATGGAGTTTTTCTCAGCAGTAAGTCTTGACTCTGAGAGGTGTTTTTTTTCTTCGCGACACAAATATTGAAAGTGTTAATTAAGCACTTGTGCTGGGATTCGAACGACCGGGCTAAGTCATAGAAGACTATGAAAGCGAAAATTTTACTAGAGGTATGTAACGTGTAGATATAACTATATTAACAATTTCGAAGGCAAGTTTCTTACATAATTTAAATAAGTCGTTATGAGAAATATTGGTCAAGATGATTATATTAAAAAATATGAGTTTCATCATCGGACGTCGAGGCAGAATACAAAATTCCACACGTATCACCTCGACGTCCGTCGTTCCACAACTGAGCGTTTTAAGGCAGTTTCTGCCGCGTACCACCACTATGTGGAACCAGCAGCCCACTGAAGTATTTCCGAACCAATTCGACTTAGGGTTCTTCAAGAAAAGAGCGTACCAATTCTTAAAAGGCCGGCAACGCACTCGCGATCCCTCTGGCATTGAGAGTGTCAATGGGCGGCGGTATCACTTAACATCAGGTGAGCCTCCTGCTTGTTTTTACTATAAAAAAAACGCTTTTGTTCGAGCGTGTAGTGGCCCCGAAAATCAAAGATACTAGAGATAATATTACCTATATCTATAAAAAGATCTTATTTTTTAATTACTATACTAATTTAAACTACATATGCCTAATTGCAGCTGAAACGCTCTACTCCGAATAATATTAGACAGCTATAAATATTGCTTTACAATCAATAAAAGTTTTTAACTTTTATGCAAACAGAAAAAGGAATGAAACAGTCCTTGAAATGCCCCAAAAGGTTTCGAAAGTACTTTCAAAGTGAACTTACAACTTTGAGTCAATATTATTTTAACGGTTCATAAAAGTTATTAATCGATATATAAAAATTTAATTGAAAAAGCCTTCATTAAAAAATATCACGAAACAAATATCTGAGGCCAAGACTAAAGATTGTAGACTGGTTTTAGTGGGTAATTGTAACAGACATAGAACAAATCTAACCTTTTCCTATTGATTTCTTACTCAATTTCTACATACTAAAATACTTTCGCTGCCCTACATAAAACAAACAGATATAGAAACAGACATGACCCTAATATAATATTTGACTAGAGATATTTTCCTTCTGGTTTTGAATATATACATTTTGCTGCTATTTACCAAGGATCAATTTTTATTTGCATTTTTCTAACTCTTGCTATATTTTTATTTACGTGAGATACTATGGCTATAGATGCGTTCTTATTGTCAATTAAACAATCTCATATTAACTTATATATTTAAAAAAAATTCAACTTAATTGAATATTGAACGAAATATCGGGTAGTGAAAGATAATTTTTAACTTTAAGCCTTATCTGAAGTATACGTTAATTCTTAGAACGACTAGGTTTTATATAAAGTAATTATAGATGTGTCCCATCGTATCCCTAACTTTAATAATACCTACTAACTGACGTGAGACTGATCTTAAATTAAATTATAATGATTCATGTGCGCTTTTTATTATTAGGTATAAATTTTTTTTTTCATTTGTCCTTTATTAGTTTGTTTTTTGTTCCTGTATAGTTTTTTTTCTCTACAACTATATGTAATACATGTATTTTTGCACTTCTTGCCTACCTTATGTAATTTAATACTTTTTTTTTCTTTTCTCACAGTGGTTGCCTGGAAGAGATCGCTCGAAAGCGATAAGGCCGCCAGTTGCTCTCCTTTTTATTTAATTATGTCAATTGTACTATATTTATGTATATGCAACGAAGTGTTAATAAATAAAATAAAATAAACGTGTGTTATGACTAAACAATGCTTTCTATTTAAAATGCAATCTGCACAGACTGTCCTTGATACCTAGTTCTTCGTGTGCTGCCAATAAATACTATTACATAACCTAAGCTTTATATAAAACTGACGTCAAACTGATTACATACTATCTATTTTCAAACATTTAAAATGCGCTTTATTTATTCTTACTGTAACTATGTATGTTGTTATGCTGAATTTTTTTTCTGATTGCGTTACTCGTATATTCGGGTACCACTGATTTGATTTGAAACCAGATTTTATTTGTTAATTAGTAGATTTTTTTATTGGTGAGTCCTAAATGGAAGATTATATAAGATCACTTTATGATCAAATTTAAGAAGACCGCGGAGAGCAGGTGTGACAAAACATAATTTGACATTTTTCGTTTTTTAATATAATTATCATTAATTTTGTTGATTTTTTTAAATACTTTATTTTTATTAAAAAAACAATCTAGTGGCGCTACAACACGTTGTCGCCCTTAACTTCAGTATTCTGTATCTATTGATCTAACAAACGCTAATTGTTAATGTGATTAATTAAATTGTCAATTATTTAAATGATGCTAAATGTAGCTCAGGAATGAA